CCTTGAATTGGGCTAACACAGGTCCTACCCAGTCTTCTGGACATCCTCAATAAGCTTATCCTGTGTGAAAGCCCTGTGTGAAAGAGGGGTTATATAGAAACATTTTTATGCAGGTCCTTTCCTTGTCAGAAACCGGGAACACTGTTTTAATGTCTTTAATGCAAGCTTTTCTGCCTCTTGCATTAAATGCAAGTTTTTCTGCCTTACAGCCCTCCTAGATAGGAAGATTTTCTTGTTAGATTAAATAATGGTATTTGAAATTCCAGGAGGGGATGCTGATGGGCAGATGAAAGAAGAAAAAAAAATGCTTTCTTTGCAAGTTCCTGGGGAGGATTTTATGGTTCTGGGATAGCTTTTGGGTTGTACTTTGGAGTATGTTTGTGAAGGAAGGCATGGCAAGAAAGGAAGAGGATTTGTTCAGGAGGAAACACGTGCAAAAAGAAAGCACTGTGGTGTGGTTGTAATTTCATGGGGTTTGGATTGGAATTTTGTAGATGTTGTAAGTAGAAAGTAAAGGCAAGTGAGCAGATGGATTGTGGAAATGAAAGAAAAGGAAGCAAAAGTGAAGCAAAGATGCAGAAAGGAAGGGTTTTCTTATGTGATGAGGTTTTGGAGAAATAGTGGAAATTGGTTGGTTTTTTCCTCCCCCTGTTGAACTTGCAGCTGTTTGGAATGTGAGGTGTGAGTGAAAGGCAAAAAGATTTTTATTCTGGATGTTGTGTGTATGCCATGTGAGAATAAGTGTGACAGGAATTCCTTGATTCAGGGGGTGCATGGTGCTTGGTATGTGAGAGAATTTTAAGAGTTTTGGTAAATGGTGATTTGGTACTTTTTCTACGGAAAAAAATATGGGAAGGAATGTGTACCTTTTGGAGTAAAGACAAGAAAAATGAGAAAAAAAGAGGAATAGTCTACCTTGCTAAGAGCACTCCCGTTATTTAAAGAGACAGTAACTGCAGCCTCTTCTCTGGATTTGGTCTGGCCAACTGAATTTAGGAGGAATTTGTGCTGGAAAATTTGGATGTCTTGGCTCTGTGGGCTTGGCTATTCCACAGAGCCAAGAAAAGGGGGGATGCACTGGCAGGAAGATACCACAAACACCACTTTGTGAGTACTGCAGAAGCAGCACACACAGCCTCTGAGCATGTGCAGAGCTCAAAGCACTTTGGGAAGTTTGAGCAGCTCTGCTTCTAGCCACAGATTGGAGGCGGGCTTGCACTAGTTCTCAAAAGAAAGTCTTTGAGTCTCTAGAAAACTCTCAAAGGAAATCTTGGTGTCTTGAAAATAAATAAGAGTTGTGTAACTGAGGCATTTGAGGTCCTCTGAGTGTTCAAAGCTTGTATTGCCTCAGGAAAAATTCTGCCTGGGAAGGGTTGGGTTAAAACAAAGACCCTTAAGCACTCTCAATGAGTCACTAGGGGATTTTTTAAGGAAGGGAATCCTCCCAAAAAAGCAATGTTGTGAGCATGTGATTTGTGTCGGCCATCAAGAGTTTTCCCTCTCCAATAACTTCTATTTTTCTATGCAACATGGATCTGGGTCTTATATATGTGTGTGGGTATAAGTTCTGAATTCTGAGTATACCATTTTGTTGTTTGCTATGTTACAACTGAAGGATTGGGAGGGAATGGATGAAACTCTGGGGCTGTGTATGTGTGTGCGTGCATGCGCATGCAGTGGGAAGAGATTCTTTTCAAAATCTATGAGGCTACTTTTCCCTTTGGTGTTCAACAGAAAGTTTTGTTTCCTTTTTCCTTTTGCAATGTTGCCAAATATTAATGATAGTGATATTGCTGTTACTGTTGTTACTGGTATTGATGGTGCTAAAAAAATTTTTTTCCCTTACAGTAGCCTAATGTTTGTTGGGGACTGAGCCCATTTGCCAGCCCAAGGATGTGGGCAGCTGAAATGGCAAGTTCTCAAAACTTCTTTCCATGAACATAAGCACTCATATGTTCATCTAAAATGGGCAAGCATTGATTGTTAGATGAAATGTGTGTTAGTTCAGGTTTGTTTGTGTTAACAATGGGTTGGTGCATTTTGCATCTATGTGGGAGAGTATCATCTCTGTAATAAGAAATTGTGTAAAACTGTTCTCATTGTCCAGCAGAAAGCACATTTCTCTTTAGCCTAGACAAGCAACAGGTTCGTGCAACACCAGTTCAACAAAGGATTTATTTTGTGTGCATTTCTGCATTGGTTGGATTGATTTATAACTGGAAACAGCAGAACCCCCCCTTCTCTGAAAAACCACAAGGTCTGATTTCGTTGTTAGAGACAGTTTTTCACACTCATCGTCCCACTTGGGACGGCTGTCAGCAACTCTTGCAGGTTCTTTTTACTTCCGAGGAGCGTGATCGGATTCACCTCGAGGCTTGGAAGCAGGTGCTTGGCACAGATGGCCAACCCACCACTGACCTGGTTATTTTGGAAACGCGCCTCCCGGCCCAACAACCCAACTGGGACCCAAATACCGGCCCCGGGGAAGGAGTTTTAACCAGGTACCGTCAACTTCTTTTGCAGGGCCTTCGTGGCACAGCCCGAAAGCCCACTAACCTGTCTAAGGTGAGTGGAGTCGTTCAAGGACTCCGGGAGTCCCCGGCCTCATACCTAGAGCGTCTGCTTGAGGCATACAGGCAATATACACCTATAGACCCCTGGGCGCCCGAGAACGCGAGGGCTATTAACATAGCCTTTGTAGGACAGTCGGCCCCAGACATTAGAAAAAAAAGATTCAGAAACTAGATGGGTTTGAAGGTAAAAATCTTAGCGAATTAGTTGAAATAGCTCAGAAGTACCTTGCAGATCGCCGTGGAATACCCCTCTGTTGCCAGTCAAGAAACCCGGCTCTGAAGATTACCGACCTGTCCAGGACTTGCGTGAGGTAAAATGCCCGGGTAGAAACTGTTCATCCTACTGTGCCCACTCCCTACACTCTACTCAGTCAACTCCCCCCAGACCGGGAGTGGTATTCGGTTTTGGACTTGAAGGATGCTTTCTTCTGCATACCCTTGGCCCCGGTGAGTCAGCCCCATTTTGCTTTCGAGTGGACTGATCCTGACAGGGGCTTCTCGGGCCAACTGACCTGGACCCGGCTGCCGCAAGGGTTTAAGAACTCCCCTACCCTCTTCGACGAGGCACTGAGCAAGGATCTCTTCCCCTTCCGAAACGCGCATCCCGAGGTTACCCTCTTGCAATATGTAGACGATTTGCTCCTGGC